TATAAAATCAAAGGCAGCTAAACGCCATAAAATGTAGTAAAATAGATTAACGATGGCACCATCTTGTTTAGTTAGTTGGACACGCTTTAGTAGTAGCAAATTCAGTTCAAAATTTTTATTTCTACTCTGCACGCAAATATAAACGAAGTTTTATCATTTAAAATTCAGATTATTAGTAATATTCTCATTCTTTATAAATCTGCTTTAAAATAAAGAATATCGTAGCTACCCGAACAAAGTTATTGCAGTTTCTCAAACCGGAAGTGTTGCTAACAGTGGCCCTAGTAAGAGCAATACTTCGATGGATCAGGAGGATCCGTAATGACGTGTTTAGGTCCGATTTTTGTAGTTTACTTGAATATTTGACAGAATTGGATTTAGCTGCCTTTGATTTTATAGGCCTCAATTATTCTATTAGCAGAAGTTAAATTTCATTAAATGACTACCTATTAATTAAAGTAACATAAATGAAAATAAAAAAAAAGGTAATTTTTTTTAACTACATTCATGTATGCAGTCGATCCTAGAGTTAATTTGTTAGTTCAAAACGATAAAGTTTGTAATGTAAATGCTCTCCGTTGTTAATAAAAATAATCTAGTTTCATTTTAAGTAGACAAAGTTAATGGTCCGTTTATTTTATTTTTGGTACGAACTTTGAGTTTTTTTTTTACCTGATTTCGATTAGGTTTTATTGTGCAATTCGCCCGGTGAGTAATATGGGCTCGAAGATATAAAATAGACTTTATAAAACTGAAATCACGCTGCGAGGAAAAAGGGCTGAACTACAACGCGACAATAAATGCGATCTCGCACCTTACTGTATACTGTCAGAGTTATAATTGCATTCGCCGATTTCTGCCGTAAAGCCTTTTCGGTTTGAAGCCGTTGTAACTATACTGAGACCTTAGAACTTATATCTCAAGATGGGTGGCGCATTTACGTTGTAGATATCTATGGGCTTCAGTGATCACTTAACCCCAGGTGGGTTGTGCGCTCGTCCACCCATCTGAGCATAAAAAAAGGCGTATCCATATATTCAAGTCGGGACCGAACATTGCACAGCAGGCGTACTGTTTAAGCAAGAGGCTTAGAACTTATGTCTCGAGGTAGGTGTCTATGAGCTCCGGTAACCACTTAACATCAGGTGGGCTGTGAGCTCGGCCACCCATCTATCCAATAAAAATAAAAAATAAAAACGCGCATACTACCCGCCGTATGTTACTGTTACTGTAACAAAAAACCTTCCCTGATGCTGTTTAAGTTTGAAATAACTAAGACAAAAGACAGGAATAAAAGATAGGAGATGTATGGAAATGGTAGTGCAAGGTAGAGGGGGAAGAGGTCGACCGAAGAAGACATGGATGGAGTGTGTGAATGACGATATGAGAGAGAGAGGAGTGAGTGTTGAGATGACGGCTGATAGAAGAGAATGGAAGAGATATATTAGCTGTGCCGCCCCACTTAGTGGGATAAGGTGGAGAAAAAGAAGAAAAGACAGGAATAAAAAGATAACATTTAAACACAAACCAATGAATATTAATCAATTGATTTAGAAGATTGTATCTGATATGCAGTACAGTTTATAATTAATAGGGGTATGTTTATTCAGTGCAATTGCATACAGTATATCGAAACGGTTTGGCTTAGCGATTATTTTCGGCTCACCAAGCAAAGACCTTCACAGTTTGTACACGCGAACATGTTTCAGTTCGTCACACTAGCTCAGATGCGTTAACTTGTATCTATTTCGGTTCACTGTATTTGAATAACCATACGATAAATGGTTCGATAACAGTTATATTGCAAATGGAAAAGCGGTCCGTAGCGCATTTAGCGTTAAATAAATACCGTAGTCCATGGACATCACAATGCGAGCGAATAAAAAAATAACTATCTCCATATATTATTTTTGTTCACAAACGAAGGTACGTCATTTTGAAACGGTACGAAACACACAGTAATCTCCATTGTCAAACACAGAAGAAAATGGTATCATAATGTCTTCTCTATGTTGAAGAAGAAAAATCACGTTAAAAAATCAACTCATAGCTAGACAATAGTTACAAAAAAATCGGTTATTAGAAACAGAAGACAAAAAAATGGTAATTAATTTGTTTGTTGATATTTAAGAGAGAAAAAAAACAAATAACAAACAAACAGTTGCTACGAAAAGAAAAAAGAAAATTGTACGACAAACACTGAGGAAAATGGTAATTAACCGTTTTATTTATCTTAAACAAAAACAAAGGAAAATCGATTGACAAACCCGGGAGAAAATGGTACTTAACTATTATTTCTTATACAGTTTGTAATTGTATTTCCTAGCGGTGTTTCAGCCAGAAAATTGGTTTATCAAACCACATTTCTTTTGCCAGGATCTGTTATATTACTGATAGAAATATTATGAAAAAAGTGTGTAGGATCGGCTTAGTAATGAGCCCTGTGAAGATACAACAATTATATGGGACGTAAACATTAAAGTATTTTTTTTCCTTCCTATGATGGAGTAAGCTCACGGGGATCTAACCTGAGGACGTTGCTAACACTAACCCTAGCAAGAGCAGTGCTTCGCCAAATCTACCGCCGAATCGGAAACGCGACCTACTGAGAAGATCCAGCGAGAAACTCAGTGGGCAGTGTCTGAGGGTATCTTTTTCAAGGTACGGTAATACTACGGAAAATACCATAGTTTTTGTTTTTACCAAGCTACGTACAATGTTTGATAAACACGTATTGTTTTTAAATAGGCTTTCACGATTTGTCCTTACGTTTTTTATTGCTTTTATTGCTATTGTTGGTTGCTTATATGGATGGACGAGTTCACTATCTGGCTTTTTTTACAGTACATTTATTTTCCATTTTTTTCGTTGGATTTTCGTCAGTAACAACGTCTTATAATTCGATGGAGCCGGCTGCATGCACGAAAAAACATGACTCATGCGGCGTTACCTCGCTCTGAGGCGTACATGTTTTCGTCAAGTACGAAGTTCAGTGAAAAGTGAATGTGGTGTCAATTGTTTATAGCAACGATAATTGCGATAGTTGAAAAATGAAACCATTCCATCAGTATTTTCTTCTGACGTTGTCACGTTCAACAATCGTTAGTAAACCAACTTTACAGACAACCAATTTTTTTTTAACTATTATTTTAAACGGTAAGTACATTATAGCATTTCATTTATTTCTTTAAGCAAGTGAAATTATTTGAATTTGTGCCTTAGTACTGTGTTATACAATAAGACATGCTCCAATAGTTATATTAAATGATTGAAATATAATTCAACAATTTCTTTTCTCAAATCATCTCAAAAAGTCGCAATACCGATTTTCTCTATCTTGAACACAATATATCCTAAGCTATATATATAACATTCATTTCAAATGTAATAATAGCAATAGTCGCATCAATATTCGCTTCATTTCGATACTACAGAGATAGATTTGTAAGCACGAAATGCAACTCTAGATGCAACGTTACAAGAATGAAATTTAGATAAACGAAATCCGCAAATAAGTTCTGCAAGCGAAATTCGATTTACCTAAAAGGTCCCCCGTTGAAGCTAAAGTTGTGAATTGCATAACTACATAGTTGGTTGCAGTCAATATTTGCGGTGTTGAGTGGAATCCGTTTGTGATCCTCGCATTGAAGCGATGTTTGTATGAGAATATGAAAATATATTTGTAAACGACTGTACCTGAAGGAGTGTAATGTTTATCGAGTGTTTGCAATATTTATAACTACTGATACCATGCAACCCACGCTTTTTTTTACAATAAATTTATTTTTTCTTACACTATTTTTAATTCATATTTATTAAAATTTATTTTCTATTTTTCAGTGGGATTTTCTATAAAAGCGTATTTTGTTAGTTTTTTTAAACTATTGTTTATTTTTAATTTTTTAGTTGAATTTCAGTTTTTTCAATTATTATTAATTCAATTATTTTTTTAATATTGAATTGTCATCGGTCCTTAATAAGTATACCAACTTTCGAGTTAATCCGACGTTTTGAAGGGGGTCAAAATCATGTTCAAAGATTCCGTTACATACTAACAACATACTAACACGTATGTAACGTTTGAAGCTAATAAAAACGTATTAAAAATTGAAAATTAGAGAAAGTTTAAATTCATGAAATCGTTACTTTTTTGGCTGCAAAATTGAAAACAACCCAAAAATTACTTTGTCAGCACGCAATGTTACATTAAACACGAAAAATACTTTAAAAAAAAAACATGATCAGTTTATTGACGCGCGCGAGATCCCTCTGCCGCGTCCCTAAGTATTACCGAATTAACTGAGCCGTGACTATGCTGAAAGCTTTCAGCTCATGATTAACAATGAATCCTCTTTAAATACAACGATAAACGAATATTGCACTTAAAATATAGCTGAATGTATTTTGTTTGGTTTTATTAATTAGCCGTTTTGATGAAGTTCAGTGTTTTTATTGAAAAATTAGAAGTTCAACAACTCACACGGTCGAAGTTTCGTTAATAAGTGTTCGTTTAAAGCATTTAGTATTTTGTAGCGTAATAAAAAAGTTTAGCCACAGCAATGTCGTTCAATGTAACTCATGGCCAACATTGACCAATTTAAAAAATATAAATAGTTCTAGGACTAGCACTAAGTTAATTAAAGACACGTGTCCTATAAAGTTATATTGTTCACTTTTAATTGTTTTCGTAGACAGGCAAGCATACAACCCTACTAGTGGTGGATGGGAATACAACATTTTATGTAGACTCAAAAAAATCCTTGATTTTTACTAATGGTATGGATGGTGTGCCATAAACTTCAGTCAAGGCATAAAATAATTGATAAGACATTCATTAAAATACTTAAATTATCTGAGAAAATTGTTTGGTTTAACCTTTAAATATTATTATAGAGTTTAAACTTCAAAATAGCGGTCCTGTAAAGTCTACTCTATCATTCACACCCGGTACCCAAATAAACTGTGATAGTCGTTTCACGATGGTTTCCATTTCAACATACCTCCAGCGCTGTCTCTAGTGCCAAGTACAGAAGCTATCTGCGGCCGTTCCTCATTGATGACCAGCTCCGCCTGCTCGCTGTAGACGGAGTGGACGCTGGATATGCAGGTCAACCGTAGCTGGCCTCGCTCGAAGCTATCCGGTCTAACCATGAACGACAGCTGGCTTATTGACGCCACCTGATTGAAGAAGAGACAATTTGAAATTATCGCACACACCGTGAGTTATTGTAACAAAATAAATAATAGTTTTAAAAAAACTAACAAAATACGTTTTTATAGAAAAACTAACTAAAACATAGAAATTTTTTTTTAATAAATTTGCATGGTATCAGTAGTTATAAATATTTTATGAACAGATATGAGTAAAAGGGTTATATTGATAATATCCTGAAAAGCACCCCACGCTTTTTTACAATAAAATAAAATTTTCTTACACTATTGTTAATTCAAATTTATTAAAATTTATTTTCTTTTTTCTAGTTGGATTTTCTATTAAAGCGTATTTTGTTAGGTTTTTTAAACTATTAGGTATTTACTTTTAATTTTTTAGTTGAATTCAAATTTTTTCTTTTTTTTTTTTAAATGTATTGAGTTGCCATCGGTCGTTCACTGCGAAGAAGGACCCCTTTGTCATGGCGCCGCAATTCCAAGGAGTATCCCTGCAACCATCCGAGAGAATCGGGATACTTGGGGTCGACATTTCGAGCGATGTCCAATTTCGGAGTAATTTGGAAGGCAAAGCCAAGATGGCGTCCAAAATGCTGTGGGCAACTTCATTCTGTTCATTATGAGTCACGGTGCGCGCGCATCGTAAAATTTCACTCTCATCAATTTTTCATAACGCGCCTAAATAAGTATAACTTCAAAAATAAGTATACCAAATTTTGAGTTAATCCGACGTTTTGAAGGGGGTCAAAATCATGTTCAAAGATTCCGTTACAAACATCCATACGTCTGAAGCTAATAAAGCGTATTAATAAAATCGACTTACAATAAATCACAAAAGTATACCTTATTCGAAGTTTGTGTAGTGGGTATTTGATCTCCGGTGTCGTCGTCAAAGGAAATGTCAGAGTGACGAGGCGTCGGTAATACGACGCTGTCTTGACTTGGCAGCAACTCGCCATCCTAAAAAACAAATGAAATGTGAATTTATAAAAATACGTTTTTAGTGATATCTGCCATCTTTAGAAAATTAGACTTTTGAAGTAATCGTGGCCTAAAAGATAAGACGTCCAGTGCATTCGTGTTGAGCGATGCACCGGTGTTCGAAACCCACGCGGGTACCAATTTTTATAATGAAATACGTCTTAACGTTCACAATTGACTTCCAGGGTGGAGGAATAACATCGTGTAATAAAAGTCAATCCGCAAAATTATAATTTGCGTAATTACTGGTGATAGGACCTCTTGTCTGCACGGATAGGTACCATCACCCTGCCTATTTCTTTTGTGAAGCAGTAATGCGTTTCGGTTTGAAAGGTGGGGCAGCCGTTGTAACTATACTGAGACCTTAGAACTCATATCTCAAGGTGGGTGGCGGCTTTTACGTTGAGGATGTCTATGTCACTACCCCCAATACTACTACGTACTACGATTATTATAATTTGAAAATGTCCTCTTCTTTTTCTCCATCTTATCCCACTAGGTGGGGTAGGCACAGCCTTTTTTTTATTTTTCGTACTCTTCTACCAGCCGTCATCTCAACACTCACTCCTCTCTTTTTCATATCATCATTCACACACTCCATCGGTGTCTTCTTCGGTCGACCTCTTCCCCCTCTACCTCACATTACTATTTCCATACATCTCCTAGTCACATGCATCTCCTCTCTACGCACCACATGTCCATACCACGCTAACCGTCCGATCTTTAATTTGTCAATCAGCGGGGCTACTTTCACACTTCCTCTGTGTGATTAACGTTCACTCTTCCAATGTGAAAATTTGTAATTTGTTTTTTTTTTCTCGATAAGAGGATCCTAAATTTTAAATAAGCAACAACCCTATTCCAAGTTACTTTACGGTAGAAATAGGCAAAATCGTGTTTTTGGTATAATCTAATTGTAATTGCATATACTGGTGGTAGGACGTCTTCTGAGTCTGCGCGGCTAGGTACCACCACCCTGCCTATTTTTGCCGTGAAGCAGTAATGCGTTTCGGTTTGAAGGGCGGGGCAGCCGTTGTAACTATACATGAGACCTTAGAACTTATATCTCAAGGTGGGTGGTGCATTTACGTTGTAGATGTCTATGGGCTCCAGTAACCACTTAACGCCAGGTGGGCTGTGAGGTCGTCCAACCATGTAAGCAATAAAAAAAAATCGTGCCCAAAGAAGAATTAATTATTAATCACGTAACAGATTTTACCTGTATAGTATCCACAAAAGGACCAAACGCTTTCCATGGACTGAATATAATGTTAGTGTTTTCTTCCCCAGCTGGAAGATTTCTGGAAGACTGTGGCGTGTCTATCGAAGGAATTAGAACTACTGGGCTGGGCAGGATTCTCTGTTGAATTACAGGCTTGCCTTGGATCTGTGAAGAAAGAAGATTGAAAATTCAAAATTGAAATATGTAGCTTAACAAATATAGAGCATCGAGCAACGCTCCTAGTCTTAAGATTAGGAAGGCATGACTAAGCTTTTACTATTTCAAAGTCAATTCTTACAATAATGTTGTCATGGCGTGCAACCTCTTTGACAGGACATAAAACCTATAATTACTAGACATAGACAGACTAAGACAGACATTTGAAAATAATTCAAAAATAAATGGAACGAGGGCGTACGTGACCAGCAGCGACGCTCTACATTTTTTGACTTCTGAAAAGACAGACATACAAAAAGACGAAAAAGAACGAATAATAATTGACCGTTCTTATATAAGATGTTCAAGTGACCTTCGACCGTTCAAGTAGTCATTCGACCGTTCAAATGTATATCTGTACTATTATTGAGGAAGACATGCAAAATTAAAATATGAACATCGCACAAAGTCAGTTTTGTACTTGATGATTTATTTCATTTGTAGCTAATTGGTATTCAAAACAATAAATTTCAAATACCAAGCGGCGCAGTTTCGTATTTATCGATAAACACTGAATTAACATAGAAATATATAATAAACGGTTAATGTTGGTTTTAAAAATGGTTTCGTGATTATGTAGACTTGGTGCGGTCTTGTGTTCATCATTATGTTTTTTTTTTTTATTGCCTAGATGTGTGGACGAGCTCACAGCCCACCTGGTGTTAAGTGGTTACTGGAACCCATAGACATCTACAACGTAAATGCGCCACACACCTCGAGATAGAAGTTCTAAGGTCTCAGTATAGTTACAACGGCTGCCCCATCCTTCAAACCGAAACGCATTACTGCTTCACGGCAGAAATAGGCGGGGCGGTGGTACCTACTCGTGCGGACTCACAAGAGGTCCTACCACCAGTAATTACGCAAATTATAATTTTGAGGGTTTGATTTTTATTACACGATGCTATTCCTTCACCGTGGAAGTCAATCGTGAACAATTGTTAAGTACGTATTTCATTAGAAAAATTGGTACCCGCCTGCGGGATTCGAACACCGTTGCATCGCTACGAATGTACCGGACATCTTATCCTTTAGGCCACGACGACTTCAAAGGTGTTGCTATCAGCTCACAGCTCGACATGTTCTGTGTCACGGTTTGTTACTAATATACTTTGCTGATGCTTCGATTTGTATTTCTCACGGAACTAAAAATATAAACTTTTGACAGACACAATAGAGTTTTCTTTTCTCATATAAAGATAAATATCTTAATATAATTGATCTATATATCGTTATGCTTTACATTTGGTGACTTAAAAAAAATTGGGCAAGTGAATTAACTTGAAACCTTAATCTAAAAAAATTAATGACATTTCAAATAAAACCCAAATATTCTTATAGCATGAATTTAATGATGATTTTATGCTATTCTTTAATTCATTGATTAATGTTTAATGTGAAATTTAATATTTACGACGTTTTCTCGATAATATATATATCTATACTAATATTATAAAGAGGAAAGATTTGTTTCTTTGTTTGTATTGAATAGGCTCTGAAACTACTGAACCGATTTGAAAAATTCTTTCACTGTTAGGAAGCTACACTATTCCCGAGTGACATAGGCTATTATAATCTTTTTTGAAAAAAATTAGGGATCCTTACTAAAACTCCAATAATGTAACCCAAGGTGTAAAAAAATTACCTAAAATATTATTTACATCGCGCGCCCTGCGAAAACTATTGAGGATAGAATAAAATAATGTACTACAACTTTGTAGAACACATTATTATTTACAAAAAGTGTCGCGACAGCATATGTCTAATTATTATAGTTATGCCACAATAAATGTTCTATTTTAAAAAATAAAACAATGTCAAATATCCTTGAAATTTTTGTTAAAGACCCGAGCGGAGCCGGAGCGGGCCGCTAGTTTTAAATATATCACTACGATTTTAATCGAGTATTGACTTCATCACTACACGCAAAATCAGTCTCTTGTATATTATTAACGGAATTGTCATCGGATGCCTTATAAATTGAAACAGCTCATAAATCCATGTTCTTGTACGGAGAGATCCTCTATCGTCCTGCAAATAAGCCGGTTTCACCTAAAATATATTAGCAACTACAGCGGAAATCATACGACCGTCAACGATGAATGGGAATAGGATGTCATTATTCTGGAGTTCGTACAATATTGTGGATTTGTATGAATTAAAAACGCTTTCTAATGTTTCATCATATCTAATATATAAAATTCTCGTGTCACAGTTTTCGTTGCCATACTCCTCCGAAACGGCTTGACCGATTTTCGTGAATCTTAGCGTGCATATCGGTCAGGGTTGAGAATCGAATAACATCTATTTTTCATCCCCCTAAATGTTAAGGGTGGTCCACCCCTAAATTTTATTTGTTATTTTTTAGACAAAAAATTTTAATTTCTATTTTTTTATGATACAACATACAAAAATACATACAACCCTAAAATTTCACTCCTCTACGATCAACCCTTATTTTTTATTTGCTAATTAAAAACTTTCAAATTTTTTGCGAGAATTTTGTTTTTATTTTGTCATGACGTAGAATAAAAAAAATCATATTACTATGAAATTGTCACCCCTCTACGATCAACCCCTATTTTTTATTTGTTAATTATAAACTTAAATTTTTTTGGCAAGACTCATTTTTATTTTTATTTTGTCATGCATTAAAATAAAAAATCTGATGTTACTCTCAATTTTTCATCCCTGTATGATCAACACCTATTTTTTATTTGTTAATTATGAACTTTAATTTTATTGGCAAGTTTTTAATTTTGTTTTGTCATGACTTAAAATAAAAAAAATCATATAACTCTCAATTTTCACTCTTATACGATCAACCCCTATTTTTTCCATCCCGATTAATATTTTTTTTATTCTATGCACAGATCCGCAATTAGGTTGCAAGATGGCAATCAAATATTATAATTGTAGTACGGTAAATTCTTATTCAGAGTTTATAATTTCAAGTTCCTTTAATTATGATTTTTTTATTGAATTTGATCTCCCGCCCTCGCCGGTCGACTACTGATCAACTATCAATCGATCAGCTATCCCCGCCAGGTGTCACCACTCATCCAGCAAACATCACGTAGTAGGGATGAGGACGAAGCCGGTCTCCTGTCTTACTTACTCACTATACATCATAGATTATACACTTAATATATTTGAGAGCTATACAATACTATACATTTTTCAGCCATGTTTTTTTGGTTTTATTTGTGTATCAATAGTATGTTCAGTAGGTCTGAGAATCGGCTACTATCTATTTTTCATACCCCTAAGTGAAAAGGGTTGTCTATTTATTTTTTATTTTAATTTTTTGGATATTTTTTTTTTGTTTATAATGACGTATTATGTGGTTAAATGAGGTTTTTTTTTTCTACAGTAGAATTTCCCTAGAAATCTTATTTAAGGCTACACAACGTTTGCCGGGTCAGCTAGTAGACATATATTATTCTAATTTAGCGTTAGCTATGTATGTACTTATCTTTAAATTAATACGTGAAGAAAAAAATCGGATGTTTGTAAAGCCGGTTTACTGACGATAGTTGAACGTGACAACGTCATAAGAAAATACGCCTCAGAGCGAGGTAACGCCGCATGAGTCATGTTTTTTCATGCGTGCAGCCGGCTCCATCGAATTATAAGACGTTGTCACGTCAAAACTTTGTACACATTTTTACGAAAATTTCGTTGACGGAGGAGAATGAAATTTTCCACACTTATAGAAAATATAGAGAAGGAGTGCAGAATGGATTTTTTTTAAATAATATATTTATAGATATTTTTTTTAAATAGTAAATCCACTAAATCAATAAAAAAGCATTACACCTACTACGACGTATTTGAGTATATAATCTCTTTTGTTTATTGTTAGTCTGTGGTTAAATTGATAATAACTATAGATTAGTATTGTCTTTAATATTAGGTATTTGTCTATAGTATAGCCTTGCCGAAATCTATGATTACAGAAGTAAGAAGTCTTTGCCAATATGACCTTAATAATTCATAATAATTATGGTCGAATTTCAACTACTGGGCGACCACTAGTTCATATTAAGAAGCCATGACCTATGATTAAAAGGTGTATTAGTTTATGTGGAGGTCAAATCCTGTACCAATCTTTCTCCAACTTTGTACCAATATGTACACGGACCTGAATGATGTATGGTACACAAATGACTTTCACGAGCTTCCTCATCATGAGCTATCAAGCACACGTTACAAGCTCCGAAGCTATGTCCACTTCTAAAGAAGGAGGAGGCTGCTGAAGGGCCAAAGTCACCCTTTGGCCCTTCTGTGAGCAACTTCATTTCAGTGCCATATACCAATACAAGTAACACACTAGTCAAACACTTTGATTTTGAAACAGTAGGTATGTGGGTACCTCCTTAACCAAGGATTAATAGTCTATAATAGTATTAAGGCTGTAGAATTTCTGAGTTATCCATTTGGTCACGGATCCAGTAGTGAAACGTTATGATCAAATAGACTAATTAATTAAAATTTAAAGAGAAAATCCAGACAACTCAACGTATTTGTATGTTATCGTACATAAACGCAACGCTGACAAGTATCAAATGGCTGATATTACGATCAACTTATTATTTCCAGTTTCAGTCACCGCAAAGGCTCATGACATTCTTGTCACACGACATTGTGATATTTATCACAACTCTCTCTTCGGAGAACTTTGAAATTGTACGCGATTTGTAAAGTTCATTTACATTTTGTCGTTATTATAGTATTAGTTATAACGAACAGGTATATTATTATAAAGCGACTGTATCCTAAAAATAATTAAGTGGCATTTTTATACATATACCACGTTTGTAAAACAAAAACACATCATAAAAATCTTTTTTTATTTTTTTTGATGAGCTCACAGCCCACCTTATGTTAAGTGGTTACCGGAGCCCATAGACATCCACAACGTAAATGCGCCACCCACTTTGAGATAT